CATTTGAGATGACCGTTTCCATTTTCTAATGTTAGGGATTTCGGGTTGGGGAATATGGTTTTTCTATGGGGGGTGGGGGTATTGGTGTATGGGGTTGAGGTTGGGTCAAGTATAGGTTGTTATGGTTTGGGGGCTAGGGGGTGGGGCATGGTTAGAAAATGGTTATGGTCATTGCTAGGTGAAGGTTCGCTCGACCTTCGGTTTTACTGTCAACCCACCCCCCTCTCGTAGGGCAGTTGGCGATGCGGAGCCCTGCAGCATCATCAGGCCCCTCTTCAAGAAACCCGAACATCAAACCCTGTTTCAAAGCGCTTGCTGAGATCCCCCAGACCCTAAACCCTGGACCAAAAAACCGTAAACCCTAAACCCTAACCCCTAAACCCTAAACCCTAAACCCTAAACCCTAAACCCTAAACCCTAAACTATGCCATCCCTAGCCTCCTCGAGCTGGCCCTTGGACTCGAGCTCGCGCGCCTGGAGCTCGGAGGTCGGAGGAGTGTGGGTTGCAGTTGCGGTTTTAATGTTTTTTAGGGTTTAGGGTTTAGGGTTTAGGGTTTAGGGTTTAGGGTTTAGGGTTTGTAGTTGCGGTTTTTGGAGGTTTTGGGTTTTAGGTGTTTTGGGTGGTTTTGGGTTTTAGGTGTTTTTAGGGCTTTTGGGTTTAGGGGGCTTTTGGGGGGTTTTAATGATGCTTTCGGGATTGGGGCTTTAGGGGTTTTGGGTTTTTAGGGGTTTTTGGGGGTTTTGATGATGCTTTAGGGATTGGGGCTTTAGGGGTTTAGGGTTTAGGGCTTTTTATGCTTCAGGGTTTGGGGCTTTAGGTTTCAGGGTTTAGGGTTTTAGGGTTTAGGTTTGTTGCTTTGGGTGTTGGTGCTTTTTTGTTGGAAGAGGGGGTTGTGGATGTGGGTTTTGGGGGATTCTTGGAGGTGAGGGGGGGGTTGAGTGTCGGGGCGTTTTGGAATTAGGTTTGGCTTGAGGGCGTTAGCGATTTGGATTCGGGGCTTCTACGGGCCTTACATCAACGTACGAACCGTAAACCCTATAACTGTAGCCTTACAAAGCCGAAAGGGCCTAAATTTGAAGAGGGCCTATACAACCCTGTACCACATGGGTATCCCAGAACCTGAAATATTGAACGTCTGAAAGCCCAACGCTGCAGCATTTTCTCGCCGCCGACTGCTGGGCGAAAGCCGTGCCGGCCCGCAGCCACGAAGCCTTTGGCAGGAGGAAAACTTCAGCTTTGGGGTTTTGGGTTTAGGGGTCACGGCCTGCTAAAAGCCGAACTTGCTCAACTCATGCTGGGGTTGGGGTTCCAACTGCCCAAATAAATCATCTGATGGTTTCAAAGCTCGCGTTAATCCTGCAAGTTTCTGCAAGCCACGAGGCCTTCCGGGAGCAACGGCCCCCGACGGGACAGCTCCAGTCCGTCCGGCACATCGGGGTAGCACGCCGGACCTTGGGTTGTAGGGTGTTGAAGTCACTGAAGCCGAAGACCCTAAACCCTATAAACCCTAAACCCTAAACCCCAAAACCCTAAACCCCAAAACCCTAAATCCCCCTGCACCCTTAAACCGAAATCCTAGACCTGAAGCCTTTGAAAGCCAAGGCTCCCCAGGGGCCCGGTGGCTCCGTCTGCGCACGGAGTCGCCGCAGCCGCTCCACCTTGGGTTGGGTTCGGGGTTGGGGCTGCTGTTGGCTTGGGTTTAGGGTTTAGGGTTTAGGGTTTAGGGTTTAGGGTTTAGGGTTTAGGGTTTAGGGTTTAGGGTTTAGGGTTTAGGGTTTAGGGTTTAGGGTTTAGGGTTTAGGGTTTGGCTTGGGTT